TACAGCATTTGCTACCATGATATGGCATGGCAACAGCAGCATTGGTAAAATTCTGAGTCTTTCAATTAAGGTTATCTGGACTTTCCACCAGGTACTTAGCGATCTTTCAATTTGAATGAGTAAGGTTTGCAAGGCTTGATTTCAATAGCTGGTAAAGAAACGTAACTATACTTAATTAGACTAATCAAATCGTAATCTCGTAATGAGCTAGAAGGCCTGTCGGTCGTTTAGTTATAGAATTTTATTTCTCTACCTTAAAAAGGATTTAGTTACAAATTCGTTAACATTTACTATCCTGATCGTTCGATAGGCTTCTTGAAATTTACTAGAGAGTATCCTTTTAGATTATTGTTAGAGTTACACTACGGTATTGAGACCAAATAGCGTTCCTTTAGTCTAAGTATTAAGGTTATTAGTTTTTAAGATTTGCGATCCCCTTGTTACATTCAGTATGAACATTAGTAACATAACAATATACGTATTTGCAGGAGTAATATAGACAGCGTTATGAGTCATAGTCTGTCAGCAGCGTAACGGGTTGTAGGACTAGTCGACCTTCTAAATCAAGCACTATTTAGCACTCTTTAGCCTACTTATATAGCTACATTAATTATTGCTGCGTCGCGAATATTTATCCTGACATAGCAGATCTTATCCTCCTACAGCATCTAAATTCCAAAGTCAATACAAATTGTGAAACATCACATAAATCATGCCTAGACATAAATATCTTCACATATTATGGTACAGCCTTGGTCCTGCTATTATTAATTAACACAATCAAGTATTTTCCCAACAAATAAATATTTTACCTACTAGGAGTGACAATAACTGGCAGTTTATTGCCTGACGACAATTTACGCCTTAAGTATGTTAGTCTACCCATAATTTATTAAGAAAACGTACGAAAATAATCAATCTCGAGGTGATATTGTGATACAGGGTTCGAAGAGTCGGCGGCTGCGGACTTAGTAGCCATGCACGGAAATTATGTTAGGGGTTTTAATAAAAAGTGGATACTTTATTGTAGATAGTAATGGAGGTACAATGCGGTAGTGACGATAGATTAGCGTGTAAGCTGTCGTAAAATAAGGTGAGGAAGTACTACTACTGCGACTAGTGCAACTGACAAATCTGAGGCAAAAATCATCAGTATTTATAGATTAAGAGATAGAATACACGCAGAGAACAGGATTGCAGAATTTGATAAGATATTTATCATAAACAGACAGAGTAATAGTAAATGATTGTAGAAAGCAGCGAAGACTGTAGGTGCTTGTCACGGTACCTTTTTGTCGTGATGAGTTAGAAGTGTTATGGTGTTTGTTATTGATAGAAATTGAAGTGTTATGGTGTTTGTTATTGATGGAAATTGATGTGTTATGGTGTTTGTTAGTAAGGTGTTTTGATGATCAACTGTCCTTAGTTATTTTGTATGTATTCGAATAGGAGGATAGACTAGGGAAATATAAATCTTGATGATGTGCAACCTTTGTGTTAGAGAGTTGTTTATGCTGACACGATTTGTAGTCGTGTTGTAAGATTATTACTGGATAGGAGGTTATGGTTGTGAGATCTCCTACGTGAGATTAATGTAAATAGTAAATATCTTAGAAAGTATATAAAGGCTAACTATGATGTAATGTGGACGAGGAGAAAGGCATAGAAGAGAGTAAACTGTAGTGATAGTTATCTGTTCAAAAGCCTAAGCTTAACTGCTTGTGTAATCGAGTAACCTAGTGATGGTCAAAGAAGTGTAGTCCCACACCCGAGAAGTTAGTGTTCTAATAGGAAGCGTAGTTCCAGTAGCACTTGTTCAGTGTCGGGATTGTGCCGTACTTAGCTAAGTTTTACACGATAAGTAGAGATCCTGTGTCACAAAAACGTGGTTGTGACAGTGCTATAAATAACTAAACATAACTAGCTGTATTTGAGTATAGTAGAAATAGATTGTAAAGCTATCTATATTCAGTACAATACAAAATGTCTATATTTAAGAATATGCTAAAGACTACAGTGAAGTATAAATACACTACAACATAGCTGTAGTGTATAAGAACGAGGTGATACTGAATTAAATACGAGAGGTTTACAGAAAAATTATATTCTAACGTAGCCTAGAAAGGTAAATATTTTAATTTTTTACTTAAATTTCAAAATTGAGTTTAGTAATAGTCTGAAGCTGTCAGCTTAAAAGTATACTTATCAATTGATTCTTGACAATGTTTATTCTTTACTTAGACTTGACACTAGATTGTAATAATCGGTTTTGAGATGTAGTAATCAATAGTAGCCAGACTTATAGATCCATGAATTTATTCAATTTAATTAGTTAGGAAAATTAGAAGCCACAAATGAGTAACTGCACTCAAAACTAAATCAAAACCGGCTATTTACTAACAAGTAATAAAATAAAATCTAAGATAAGTAAAACTCCATGTTCTTGCTAGCCCTTTCTTCCTCTAGCTTAGCTTACAAGCCTTCAATATGGTCTATTTTATGCAACCTTTTTCAAGTACGAATTACCAATTTAAGGGAATTATACCATATAAAGAACCACTTCTCAATCTTAATAATTTGTGCTAATGCTAGTCATTGCATCTGCAATAAATACCATGACATGAACATAATAATCAAATGAAAGTACCGGTGGCATCGGTCCCAAAATCTTTTAGCATTTAATACTACTGATAGTTCCCGATTCGACTAAAAGCGGATTATATTTCAGAATTATAAGAAATTGTTTTAAAACAAAATGTATTACGGTTAGATTTCATGGAAGAACTTGACTAGGATCTAAGGAAAAGGGCCTCTAAATACCAAAATTGACAGAGTACAAAGATCGAGAAGACGAAGTGCAAGTGCTAAAGTAAGCCTACAAACTATCAAATTTCAACTATTTAACTATATTGTAACACTATTAACTATCAAACTTCAGTTTTTTTACTATATTGCGTAAAAAAAGTAGATGTTCATTGGAATCATGAGTTATAACAGTGAAATAGAGATCCGATAAGACCATATAATTTCATACACTAATCAAATGTAGTTTAATCTCAAGCATTGCTAAAATATTGAGTTTAATTAGTTAATAGTTTCAACTGTACCTGTAGCTATAACTGAAAGAAAAATTTGGAATTTTTAGCAATAGCTTAATGATTAATTATTAATAACAACTTTCAAGAATTTGATCATTATTTTCCCATTGTATATAATTCCATTTAACAGGCAATGAAAAGAAAAAGTCTGAAATTATAGAAGTTTCCTACTGACTTACTAATAAGACTGATAGAAGATACCTAAAACTATTAAATATCGCACTTCCAAAATGATATTATTATTTGTTATACGTACAATGTTAAATTTAACTAGTTGAGGTAGAAAAGTTATATTCCGTCTACACTTTTAGGCAAGCAAATTCCGTACTGAAAAATAAAGTCTTTTGCAGCTTGATTTAATATTGAACACCAGATTAGTAGCAGCAAGACACGCACAATTTGGATAATACACCGCGTGACCGAAATGCTAGTGCTCGAATAGTATAGTAATATTTATCAGCAGCTGCTACTAACACGATAATTTTTACATTTCAACTAATAGTACTCAAGTCCAGTAATCACCTTCCTTAAATATTAACAATTAGTAAAATTTAACGAGCATAGGTAAAATAACTTCTGTAGCCATATATTTCTGCGTTACTTCTTCACTCAAAGTCTCTCCTAAACTGAGGTAGCAAAGATATAGTACGGTAATTAATATCATATTATTTACTAGTAATTACTAAAATCATAAACACTTATAAAACATAGATTAATAAGCTACAGACTGGTGCATAGCCAACATTTTTGTTTAAACTATTACGGTATCGTACCAAATACTTAATCTAGCAGAGCAATTTTTGATATTGATATCTTAATTTATATACAGACAATTTTAGTGTATCAAAATTGTATCTTTAGTTAGATAATATTAGAATTTAACGCCTAAAAATTATAGTTAAATAATATATGATTATTTATCAGTAACTAGTTTATTGATAAGTTTGGATGTATCTATTTTCTAGAAATGAGCTTTCTTCGCCTTTTTCTTATAGGTAGCACTAGGAACATCACGTTGGAGCATCCAGCAATATTCACCCATCATAGAAGGACTGACTTTACCCTGATAAATTTTCTCTATTCTTGCGATGTCTTGATGGAATCTTTCTCCGTGTTCGTCACTAATATCGCCAAGGTTAGGAGGGAAAAAATCAAGGTGAGAATGTAAAAAGTGAACTTTAAGCGTCATTCGGCATCCTAAACTATGGTAAGTTGACAACCGTGAATTCACCAGTTCCTTATAATTTTTGGCTCTATGATTGCCGAGAAAATTATTGCAAACTGATTTCAAGGAATTCCAAGCTTGCAATTCATTACGTTCCAACACTTCTTTAAATTTATCATCCTCCATAAGATCTCTAATTTGCGGGCCCATAAAACTCCCTTGAAATAGTCTATCGTAACTAAGCGATGGAAATTTTTTTGATAAATAAATTAAACCCTGTTATTTGTATTCAATGCTTTAAGGAAAGTCTGCATCAACCTAGCTTGATATGAAGAGGGGGTAAATAGATATTTTTGACTTTTATTAATGGTGGATGTATAACATTGTTGTAACCAGGAATAAGATGCAAGCGTGGCGTCCAATTTTTCCTAATGTAGTGAGCACTTACCTCGCGGCTATCCCATAGACAGAGGAAGCAACTGTGCCTTGTAAATCAGGTTTGCATTCCAAGTAGTGGTGTAGTAATGTAAAAATCACAACAAGTATGCCATTGATGTTGCTCGAAGTCTATTGCACGTAAGAGAATTGCCAAATTTTCGTATATTTCCTGCAATGTGACAGAATATCCAATCGGTACAGAAGGATATTTATTGCCATTGTGGAGAAGTACCGCCTTTAAACTATATCTCGTTGAATCAATAAATAATCTCCAATCCGATGGTTAATGATCTTGATTGAATCTGCCAAATAATCCGTAAATATCATAGAAGTAACAAAATGATCTTACTATCTTAAAATAATTTGCTAGAACCATATTTCTTTCTCGGAATAAGGTAATTTTAACACTAATTTCAAGCAGATTCCATTACTTTAGTCTTGAACTTAATAGTTCGGATTGTGATTTGCTCATAATTAGATCTCTTACCAAGTCATTCAGTTCACCTTCAGTAATAAGGTGTGATGTGCGGTCCTTATCCTGGGAACTGTTGTATTAGTAATCCTTATCATGGATATCGTCCTTTTCAGCATGCTTTGGTCATCAGTAGTGTTATTATCATTAGACATCTCTTTTTGCATACCAGGTGGAATGGGAATAGGAAATTTACTGCTATGTGTTATTGGTCGAAATGCTGATGTACCTGTTGAATATTTAATGTTTTTTCTCGTTTTTGTGGAATAACCATTGATGTTTGTTTGGCAAAAATAACAATCTACTGGATGATTTTTGGGCTTCGACCAAATCATAGATATAGCAAATAGCTTAGAGCTTCGTCTTCGATTGTGCCACTGATGTAATCTAGTATTGCAAGTTGAACAGCAATATCACGGTTCCCAACTTTTACATCGATGGCTTACTTTAAATCCAAAATAGTCAAAATACAGTTGCTTGGTAGAAGTACATAGGTTTCTTTTCTGATTACTTGTCATATATGATCTGCAAATGTAACAAAAATAGTTAGGATTTGTTTTACAGTTTAGAGGCGGGCCATTAGTACTATTGAATGGAACATGACCAGAATTAGATGTCCGCCTAGTTTTCCAACGACTCCTTTTTACAGCATTTTTATGACCTTTACTGATGCTAATGAGGTTATTATCAGGATAAATAGGTAAAGCTTGTATTACTTGCTTACTGCTACTATCAGATTTTATTTCAGTTTGATTATTGTTCGTAGCGTTAAACTCATTCTTATTAGTCAAGCTATTATCAAAAGCTATTATCATGATTGCTATTAATATCTTTAACATAGACATCATCTGAGTGATCACTGCCCTTTATGGTTATGTCTTGGATATGATTAGAATCGTGCTCAGAACTAGACTGGCTATGAAAACTTTGTATGATATAATTATCGTCGAAGATATGCTTGGATTGTAGATAATCAAGATCTTGTGAATCTTGGTTATCATCATCGATGATCTTTAGATTTACACTGTTAACTTCATTATTGCTATTACTTTTGATGACTGCCATTCTAAAGTCGTTAATAATATAGTTCTCGAAAGTATCTGTTTACAACAGCTCTACTAAGGTCTTCATGGAAGTCTTTGTATCTGTCTTTATAATTACTTACGATAGAATGAACAGTATTGAGGTGACTTTCATTTTCTTAAGATTTTTGGTTAAATACTTGATGATGGTCTACGATGAGCCAGTTATTACTAACATTTTCGCCATCAACAACTTCATTGCTATTGCAACTGACTTCAGATTTTGTTTGCTCATTGCTAGAATTATTTGCTTTCAATACCTCCGTGGAAGCTTGAAAATTAAGACTGCTACCATCACGTAAGGCTAGTAAATTTTGGCTAGTTGACGGTTTTGGTACGGAAATACTATCGCCAAGCGGTGTCGGTAAGATGCCTGATGTTGCACTAGGATACGTAAAATTGTTATTAATCGTGTCTGGGCAGCCAGGAATATTTGCCTTCCCAAAATAGCAATCGTTAGGATGATTGTTGGGAGTAAGCCACATCATAGGAATGGCAAATGGCCTAGAATTTCTTTCCTTCGAATAGCACTATCTCAGAGCTATCACATCCTTTACAGCAAATAATAGGTGCCCAAATCTTATCTTGACTGTTAATCTTAAATTTAAAGTGGTAGAAATATAATTCTATTACTTTCGGTGTTAGGTGGCATCGAAATGATACAGAGGTATACGAATCACATATACAGTAAAATGAATTTGCTTCCGTTTCACAACGTTGTTTCTTAGCCTTATTACCTTATAGAATAACCTCAGTTTTCTTTTCAATTAGTAAAATATGTTACGCTGCTAATGTTTCATAGTATGAGTTCTTTCAGCCTGTAAATATAAGAAGAAAAGTGACTAAGGAAAGATATGTTTGGTCAGTGCTATGATAATAGTTAGCATTTTTACCATGTTTGAAAGATTATAATTACCGATTTTTATGGACATCGTTCCATGCAGCTGCTAATCGCATCCAAAGTTTTGAGTAAAGCATTTCTTTTTCATTTTCAGAGAAGGCCACCATACAGTTAAGTTGATACAACTGTAATTTCCATTGCCCTTACTTAAGAATGAAATCTGCCACTTGTCTTATCTATTACAATTAATAATTAAGTCATTAATAATGGAGCGATTCTATTCATTGTGATACCGTAATTTCGTCTTCTTAAGTGGCGAAATGCTATCATAGAACATTGAAAGCTTTTTTAGAATTTGTCAAATACAAATCAAAAAGATTATTTCAGTATGTCCAGATTACTTTGTACTGTAATGAGTTATACCCTGATAGAAAGCTAAAAAGTATTACTTGATATTTTAGATTAAGCAAAAATCAAGTAATCATGACAATCCGTAAGATTGCTAATAGCATTCGTATAATGTGCAATGAGCAAAATGCCGAAAATTAACCTGTAATAGTTAAAGGAATAAATCGAATTAACCTTCTCATACCTTATAAATTATTATTGGTTTAGCAAAAGTCTAGCAGTGAAGGTTGCGAGTTGTAGTATGATCATTCAGGCATGCTGTTATAAGATCTCACTGATTCCTGTTATAATACTTCTTAGCTTTTAGGCAAATTGTATTATGAGTTTCGTGGGGATAAATTTTCAAAATTATTAATAATACGGAAATGCACGATTTCACTCTTACAAATACCATACACGTATGTGACTTCGTGCATTACAAGGTTGAAATTAAAAAAAACCAGGCAAATTCATATTTATTTATTATGTATTAGGTTGTCGTATTAAAACTAAGCCATAAATTGGATAATGTAAGTCACTAATCAGATTTGTGAATAAGCTTAAATTGACGGTATAATACATTTATGTCTAAGAATTATATGCAACAATCCTCGCGTACGATGTCCAAGATTATATAGTACTGCATGTCCATAACTTTATTTGAACTCAAAAAAACGGAAAATTCCTTAAGCTAATTCAATATTGAATAACGCTCCTTGTCTTAGGTTACAAGAATAAAAAAATGGATTTTAAACTGGAGTGCATTAATTACCTGTAGTTAATTCAGTAAATCACGATCCAAGTGTTTTACTAAAATACTGGAATATTCAGATCATATATCTCAATTAATGAACCAATGTCAATGCTAATATATTTCGTTATTTCACTACACGCGCAGTATCTAATGAACTTAATTAATTAACCCGTTATTTTATTGCAGAATAAAAATAAAGAAGGCTGATTGATGTGAATTCTTTTCTTCAAGGATTGGATCAGGCTCTATGCCACCAGAAATTTATTAGAGCAGTATTACCATTTGGTAAAACCCAGCTATGAACGAATACGTTAAATGTCCATTGTTGTAGTTTTTCCAAAAGATTCGTTTTTATTTTATTAGTTAAGCTAATAAATCTGCTAAATAAAGTATTACTGTGAATGCATTACCATGGTTCGTATATCCTATTCACGTCATCAAGAATTAGAATATTCTTAAATCAAACCATAAAGTAGTACATTACGCATCACAGTAATATTATATCTAAGCGATGTAATATTAATATTAATAGAAAGTTCATCTTCGTTCTATGGGTCAAATTAATTAAGGATCTTTGCTAATTATGCACTACTTTCTTGGGTTAGTTTCGATTACTCTCAGCTACAATGTTCTTCACTCCTTTTTAGTGTATACTAATTATCATTTATAGGCTTATGCACTGAACAATAACAAACTGTTGCTAAAATTCACGAAATGTTTAGCTTCTCAAATTCAATGGCAATCGCAAGATTACTGCAAATTTCTTCGCTGTAATACGAGTACGCAGATATTAGATATTGAGTATTTAGATAGCAGGGTAGAAATACAAATTTTATAGTAGAAAAATTGTCATATATATTGCTGCAGTCTATTTATTTATCCTAATTCATCTTATGATTTTAAATTATTTTGAAACATGGCGACATTATTGTGGTTGTTTTCTTTCTTCAATTAGATTGCCAATTCCTAGAGTTGATGGCATTGATGCTTGCATTATATTAAATCCACATCAAACTACTGAAATCGGATTTATCGCAGATTTATAGAATAACTCTTCTATAGTATTTTTATGGATCCTATAGACATACATTAGCTAAAGCCTCAATTAACATTAGAGCTTGATTACGATGAGTTCGACGAAAGAATTACAAGAGAGTGATGAAATTCGTATACTATTATTACGTAAACAAGGTGTAAAGTTCAAGGAAATCGCTCAAAAACTAGATTTGCCATATTCAAAGGTCACTGGAACATACTACAAATTGAGAGGCAGGAATTCAAAAGTGGTTCGTCCAAAAATTAAGATTGCACTAGATCAAGATAATTCAGGAGTCATTAATTTTCTTCTACAAAACTCGAGATCTATGAATCCTAATGTCAGTTTAAGTATTCAGACTCCTGCTAGCTCAAAATCGATGAGTCCTAATGTAAATTTAACTACTCAGCTTTCTGCGACAAATATTGAAGATGTTGATAAGGAAACAGATAAAAGTGTTAATAACTCTCAAACGGAATTTTCTCTCAGGAACCCGACGGTAAAAAAAAAAGAATTAGCAGTTCAAAATATTCAATTAGAGAAGAGTTGGGTTTCAACACTCAAAGAGTGGAAAATACCTGACTGGCGTAAAGTTGTTTGGATTGGCGAGAGTAAGTTTGATATTACGAAGATACTAAGCTCTTCTGCTAGAATTTCTAGTCGAAATCGAGAAGCAATTGATCGGGATATCAATAAGGATGGCAATCTTTCCTTGCATAGATGCTGCACTGTCATAACTCTTTGGGGCTGTATCAGTTGTGAAAGCGTCGGACCAGTCATTAGGATTGCAAAATATTTGGGAGCTACAGCCTATGTTGACATGTACGAAAAATACCTATTACCTTATTTATCATCTTTGGATAGAGCATTCATATGTATAGGCTGTAGGCTGCCAGGTCGACGTGGTAAAGTTATTAATGAGTTAAGCCAGGAACGTTTTGGACTTGAAATACAATCTTGGCCAAGCCATAATGCTGCACTTAATCCACTTGAAGATGTATGGACAGGCATTAAATCTAAGCTTATCAATATTCCTTCAATAATGCCGGTAGATTTTGAAGGGGAGATTATAAAATTATGGAATAAAACTGCAGTTGACGAGATTATTTCCTTAGTTGATAGCTTACCTGTCAGGATAAATGCGATATCGAGCAGTCTAGATAAGTTTAATGACAGACAATTGGATTAACTTTTCCTTTAATCGAGTTAATACTGATGATTATGTAGGTGTGTATATTATTTACGACGATTATTCATTATGCTATCAAGTATTTATTCTCACTGTTATGAAATTTCCTTGTTTGAGGCTTTCAATGTGCAGCTTAAGCAATCGTTAGCTCAATGTTAAAATGTATTTGTAACAAATGTAGAATTAATATTTTAGGTTATATCGAATCTCAATTACGTTTTCAAAGTTTGATGATGTACATGTTAACACATTAAGCGATTTTATGAAATTTATTCGAAGTATTGGGCTTTCTATAAAATGTCTTTACACAAAATTTCGTAATTATACTCTATAAGAATAGAATTCATAGCACAATTGTCCGTATTGCCTGCAAGTAACAAATTATGTAATAAATTTAAAGGTTTGGATCAATGTATCGATGATTGCGGTAGCGTTGAGTTTTTAGTGGGACCACAATTATTTATTTGGATGAATATACTGTAGGTTAATTTATAATAGTTACAGTTTAGCATTATAAAAAATTTTTTTCTGGTCGATCTTAACAACCTTGATATGCCCCTAGCTTTCACAATCAGTACTAAGATATACACGCATTGGCCATAGGCCTCGCACCGATAACTTTAATCACACAGTATTATTAAACTTTTACCATATGTAAAACTATTATTAAATGAATATTTAGTAGGTAAGCAACTAAAAGAGAACTTGAAGTTTTTTGATATATTCGTTCCCTGTAATGCAAGTGAAAGTAAATCGCTTTGAGTCTAGCAAGTCCCGTAAATATCGTATCTAGGTATATATCAAAGTTCATAATGCTAAATACATATTCAATTCGTTTATAGATACGGCTCAAGATTAAATAAAACACTCTATTGGATTTTTTATAGCTAAAACATTGTAGCAGAATAATCAAGATTGATAACTGTACTAATTCTTCTTGAATTTTAGGATGTGCTGCAAAGCCTAAAGTGCTTGATAATCAGAGATCTTTAACACGCTTCTCTTAATTTCATGAGAAGTGAACATTAGTAAACTTTTTTAAAATTCTCCACAACACTTTTAAAACTATCACGTTAATACCCATGAGACTTATGATTTCTTAATGAAATCATGCCTGCTTAATAAGGCTGCTCTGCAAGTTCATTATTTGAACAGTCCAAACTCTCTTCCATCTAATTCATAGATATTTTAAGTAGTATAATGTAGGATTTAAATGAAATTTACATGTAAAAGAGTCGTTATATAAATCTTATAGTATATAATATTGTTTATTCTTCTTAAAGTTGCAAAATAACCGTAATTAGCTATTCAAGCGAATATCTACTGTGCCTGAAAAGTAAACGATGTAAAGCTTGTTTCTAAGCTTCGAGGCAATAAAAACTATTGTAATTACATATAGGCAATTTGCAAATTACAATAATAAAATAAAGCATTTGCTATCTGGCATTATTAATAATTATAATTAAATGCGAACCTATGCTCTTAGTATCGGTTATTGCATAGCATCAGCATATTGTCAAAAATCTTTCACGACAGTTAATACTTAATTTTTGGCGTTAGCATTGACAATTGGTGTTTCAGCATGGTGTGTTACAGTATACGGTACGGCATGGATTATACTATACTGCACATTGCAATACGATACTGACACGTTATGAAAGTCCTTTCTTTGAGGATAGGGTTTTATTGTCGTTTCAAATTTATTTTAATCTCAATAGACTATCAAACGCCCTTTCTTTAAATTAGGCGATTGCTCATAAAATATTCAGATAGTAATCTATATAAAACCTTATAAAGTAGTAAAATAGGAAAGATGCCAATGCCTTGCCTTGACAAGGTAACACTAAAGGATACTATCACTTTCTACTCATTTTCTACAGTAAAGTAAGAATAATTTCGTATTTAAAGTTATAAAGGATTCGCTTGTCGGTCCTTTACTGCACAATAATATAATTTAAACTATTACATAAAAGAATTTTGATGAAGATAGCTTGAGAAATATTTGCTCGAGAGGATTTATTACGTGATTTGTATCTATGGAGGATACTTATCTTCGCTACTGGTGTTAGGTTTTGGTAGATCAACATGAATTATAAATCTGTCCTGGTTGTTATATTAACATATGAGATCTAGGTTATATTTTAGTAATCTACCTTTGTTAGTATTGTACAGGATCAGAATTTTCTAATCATTCTTAAAATTAACATAAGAAAAGTGCTTTCCATCTTTTAAAACAAAAATTACTCAAAGATCAGACAAGGCTTATCTTAAGATTTCTTTACAAAATGTTATAAAGCTAATATGCCAACTATTAAAGATATCAAATCTTATTTCTAACAGAATGTTCTAACTTTTAAACTTTATAAAATCCAGAAAATAACCTTTAAACATCACGACTTAGTCACTAAAATAACTTATACAATATTCTACCTTAGTCAGTCAAAATACAAATACTGCCACGCACTTAATTAGACAATTATTTTCTAATACTATCGCTGTACATTAAAAATTAAAAGCTAATGGATTTTACATTATCATCAAACATGAAATCTGCCATTTATTATCTCGTTGAAATATATTTTTAACAACGGTGACTGGGAGTCGTCCTAACTTGATACACCCCTTTAGTATTTACTCCAACTCGCTGCATATTTAAACTTTTAAATGGCTCTTCATTTGGGCTACTATATGCCCAAATGCGTAATTCAGCTATCGATGAAGTCAAATACTTCTTAGTCAATCAGTCTCCTGGAGTTTCGAGAACTTCCGGCAGAGTTGATAGTATAACAGATGAAGAACATCATTATCCTCTAAAGCGCTCTTCGTTCACTTAATTCTTTCAGCTATCCTCCATATCTACTATATTTAAAACCTAGAATTTTAATTATTCTGTTACGTAATATGGATAGAAGTAATGACCATGAGAATGATTGTCGATGCAGTACAACAAGTTAAACTTGACACCTAACGCAAGCAAGTATTTGCAATAACTGCTAACAAGCTTAAGGTAAGATGCTCAAAAAGTCAGTTTTATAGGAAACGGTTGTAGAGACCGTAAAATCACTTACCAAAGGTCATAGTTTCGAAGAACCAGATACCTAATCATACGCCAGGACTGATTTTAAAATAATCCATAATATACTCTCGATGGTACTTTCTACTATAACGGTTGTGATGTGCAGCGAATTCTGTGCAGTCAGCAGTATACTTTACGTAGAGCCAGAGGGTGCAATACTAAGAAAATATTTATGATCTTACTGTTAAACAATGCAAAAATATTCGAAAAATTACGAATAAGAACTTTTAGAGATTTTGAAATTAGAAAGAGACATAGATAATTAAATATAAGTCCATATGGCCGAAGTGAATACAGTAGAAGCACATACAATTCTTTGTTTAGTCTGATCGACGCATAGCCATTGTTGTATGTTTAAAGATTCATATATATCTTTAATTCTCATCAAAGCTGTATCGTGCACCTAACAGCAACAATTTCAGTAGCTGGTACGTAGATGATAATCTTAATTATTTATTATATTTGAACTCTTTTCAGGCGAATGTTTCTCAAACCCAATAATGTACTGGAATGCTATATGTAATATTGCAATTAAAAGTATATTAGATGGAAAAAACATTATTTGTTTACTCAACTAACTATACTAAGTAATTTGAACCTTATGTCACTATAATTCCTGTAGTTTATTTACTTATTCATGAGTCGCGAATATTAGTTACTTACAGTATAGGGACTATCAAAATGAGAAGAAAACCTTTACAGCAGTAGCTTTGTTCTGGGTAGTTTCTGGATGGTAAAATTGTTGTAAAAATAAATGCCGTAATTGTTACAATCATAAAGATACCGTGACATATGTAAATTTGCAATATGAAAGGATGTCTCACTTAAAAAGGCTATACGCCTATCTGGTCGGAGCTATTATTTTTTGCTCTACCCCTGTCACACACTACTAGTGAGTGACAAAGTAGTCTACACATGCCAATCCTGGTGGAGAACGCTACTTACTAACTTAAAGAGGCGAGATTAGCTATATCACCAAATAATTCAGTTCCAACGACCGAATACTATGGTATAATTATAGCGTCACAGATGATGTAGACGAGATAGTCAGAGATTTACTATCATTTATTACTGAAGGAATCTTGGCACCCAAGATTATAGTCTTTACAATTAAATATCAATTGAAAAATTAGTTGACTATCCAACCTACTAACGAACTAACTAACTAAAAAGGAATCTTCAGGTACCAGCCTTTTATAGTCTCGTCAGAAACTCCTGAAAGATTAAGCAGATTATAGTGTATGAAGAAATGACAATTAATAAAACGTCAATCCACACAAACAACATTTAATATTACTCAATAATTAGGACGAGCTTACGCATCGTAACAACCCCTTATTCCATTGCTTTATTTCTGAACGTTAATCAACACTGATATGCATAGTAAATAAATGTCATCTTGATAGCACATCAACTTTAACGCATATTCACATTATTATGTGTGTGTAGAACTAACTTTACTTGTAAACTAATGCTACGGTATTATATCAGTATAGCCGTTTAAATCAAGAATTTATGAGTCTGTCAATCCATACATGCCGACGCTTGTACGATTTTTCCAGTTTGAACTTCTGAAAATCCATTCTTTCCCTGTCGATTACAAATTTAACTAATAAAACATTAGATTCTGAATAAAATACCCTAAGCAAGGAATTGCATAATTTCTATTCCATTTAGACTGTGTGTGCTAATTGGGCATGATCAATTAATTTTAATATTGGGTACAGTATACGTCCAAGGACTAGTAAATGCATAATCATTTATAGAAGTTTCATACTTTAAATAAGGAACTTTTTCATAATTTAAATAATCGAACTACTAAGCTTAAGCAATTTAATGAAATTAAAAGCTTAAAGATAAGAATATGATTGCAGCTAGTTGATATTTCGTGGAGATCGCGGTTTATGGTCTCAATGCGTATGGA